AACTCAACATGGATATACAGTAAAGCTGCATGAGGAATGATTCGCCATCTTGATCTGCAATTCATGGAGACCCATCAGGTTTATGAAGTTCGTATCCGGAGTTCGACTTGCTACTACCCGATTAAGTACTTAAGTCCATCATCGTTTGCCCGACTCGCTTCAATCTATTCAATGCAGTGTACTATCAAGCTGAGTTTTCGACGACTCTGTTGTATCGTGTGTTCATATGACTGGACAGAGCTCAGTAAAGCATACAGTCGCATGTGAATCACCATGTGCTAGCTACTATCTCATATCATCCACACTAACATGATGTTAGTAACATCTAATGATTAGATTGTGCTCCAGAGCGGGCGGCTCTGAGCGACTCTATGTTGTGTCCTTGCTATCATACGATCCGCTAGCAGAATCGTGTTCTCAAGTTACTCCGAAAGTGTTAGCTTGAGAATGAATAAGGAGCGTGGCATAGTACGGTGATTGTTGCGTAAGAAACTGGCACGGTTGAGAGCGGTCAGAATGGGCGCTTGTCTGAATATCTATGGAATGGTTTAACCGTTACGGTTACGAGTGTCACCTATTCCTCTTAATATGGTATCCGCTATGTGACTGGGTATCGAGTGCTCCAATTTCAGAGGGAATTGTCCTTGTTGGAAAAGAAATCGAAAATCTCGTGACTTACTTGAAAAAGTGGCACGCTCCGTATAACATTGATCTTTTCATCTCAACCTGAGACTTCCAAGGACGCATAGGTCTACGTTCTCGATTCAGTGCAACAAGGACATAATTTAACTGGTGTATCTTAACATATCGCTTACACCCCCGAGCGTCAGCGAGCTAGAGAACCCCGGAGCGAAGCGACGGGTTCTGCTAGTCTTATAGAGGCACTTGTAGCAGAAGTTCTAGAGGAGGGGTCTGTTATTAATGTACCCATCTTAGCTCAAGTTTTGTTGTGTTGCTCATAACCCCAACAAAATGGTACCCGATGCAGGATCTGACGACGCTGTATTCGCAAGTGCCGTAATAGCACCTATTGTAGGTGTGGACCTGGGGATGGAGATGCAACGTCTTTATCTAGAGGTTGAAAAGAGGGATGCCTTCAATAAGAAGGTATCAATTATGAGGGCGAAATTGCAGCGTTGGGCTTCTAAAACGGGAATTGTAGATGTTGAAGAGAAAGCTAGGGTAATCTATGGGGCCGTTATTGATGCCGCTCAAGTTGAGGGCATGAGTGGGGAATGGATTAATTTTCTTGCGAAGCATCTAGCGAAGCAAGTGATAGTGTCTATTCGATCGCAAGGTATCGAGTGGCCTATTAATCGCCACGAGGATTTACATAATGCTTTGGAATTATTCTTGGTTGGCAAAACTGGTGAGATGGGAAGTGGTGATGGCTCTGGTGGTGGTGTTAAGGCCGGTGGTTCTAGGAATGATTATAAAGTTAAATAAAATAGTTTGGATCTCGTGTTGGGAGCTCCATGGTCTCGACCAACTCCTGAACTACCGTATGAAATATTGAAGCGGAAAGTCTCAGATGCTGTTGTTATTTATCATTTGCATGGAGATGCTGAGCTTTATTATATTCTTCGTAACTTCTCGGGACCTCCCAAAGATGAGATTAATAATATGATTAGAGAGAAGTTGCGAGAGGGAGCATCAAACGCTGAGATTATAACTTAGATCTGGAAGTACCTTGATGAAAGATATTTGGGAACCTTCAATAAAGGTGAGGCCTTATTACGTTGGGAGCGATTAGTGCAGAGAGAAGATGAGCGAGTGGAAGATTACTTTGTTCGTATTGATAAGAAGTCGACGCTTATAAGCTCGGTCTTTGGAAAACAACACTTGGAACTCGAGAAGTGTATAAGAGCGAGAGTGGGGTTATTGCCTAGATTATCGAGAGCCATAGAGAGTTTAGGCAAAGCAGTCGATCGTATGTCTTATAAAGAGTTACGAGGTGAGGCTATGCATTTCGAATCGCAGTTGAGCTCTGGGAAGTACCGATGGGATATGAAGGGCTCATCAGAATCGACTCAGCAGAAGCGGGAGGCTAGTAAGGGAAAAGCTGAAGGTCGGAGTTCTTTTAAAGGCACTTGTAGCAGGTGCCTACAACCCGGCCACTCTTGGCGTTATTGTAGAAGTGAGAAACCGGGTGATATGGCCCAGAGATGTTCTCGCTGTGGACTCCGACATCGGCTGGTTGATTGTACGATCCCTCCTACTGTTAGCTGTAGGAGATGTTCTCAACGAGGTTATTTACAGTATGTGTGTCCATCTCCTCTCGCTGTCTCAGGTCAGAAACCACAGGGTACGGATAGAACTTCGAGCACTGGAAAAGGTGGCTCTATCAAAAAGACTTCAGCATACACCATAGAGGTGGGCTGCACCCCGCAGTCAAAAACCTCAGAAGGTGATGCAATCAGCGGTGCCACTCATGGTGCAAGGAGTTCAGGAGATCCGTTATCTTGTGTTGTTGATCTGACTTGTGTTGAACAGAATTTTATAGGAGCCGAGGAGAGGCAGGTAGAAGATTCGTGGTCGGTGAAGTTGATGACACGGCCGGATATAGTCTCTCTACATATCGGTAGCTATGAGCTATGTGGATTGATTGATATGGGAGCAGCCGTCGGAATGATACGGGAAGAAGTGGCGTCTCGGCTTCAGAAAGAAGGAGTTCTCACTCGTCGTCCTATTAAACCAGTTATTATTACATATGCGAATCACACTTATTTCCTGATCGCGCGGAGTATTGGCATGCGAATCGACGTGAGATGTTCGCAATTCTCCAGAGCTTAACAACTTTGTGCCAACAGTTCACGAGGAATTGGTGGAGCTCTTTGCGGACCATAGTATTGGGGAGCGATTCGTTCACGGCGATCAGGAGTATGGCCGGACCGGAGAAGAAGTTGAAGGGCATCGAGTGGCTAGCAACTCGCCGGATTCGGGATTGTACCGATGATGTCTTGGCGGAATTGAAGATGATGAATATCACGGTATCCTTCATTCATCTGCCTAATACTTTCTTCTACACTAAACGTGTTGATATTTTATCTAGAATTGTTGACGATATTCCCTTTTCTCGAGAGCTTCTGAATATCCGTGATAGTAGTGAAGTGTCTCTCTCCGGAGTTGATTTGATAGTAGAAAATGCTAGTGAAGTGCCCCTGTTAGCATTCGATATTCTGGATCTTTACTACCCTTATTCTCTATTAATTACCTACTCTCGAGAATGTACCATCTCTTAAATCTTATTACCATCTTGATAGAGCATTTCATGCTTGGGAGGGAACTACACCCACTCCGAGCCATGAGTTATTGAGAAGATTCTTGATTAAGGAGCAGGAGAAGGATCCTTTATGCAAGGAAGTTCGCCAACTGTTGAATGAAGGAGCGGACTTGTCCAAGAAATGGTCGGTATCTCCCGCAGTATTCCACTATGGTGAGAATGTCTTCCTCCAGAATGGTGTACTGCGTAAGAAGGATTCTGTGGAAGAATCCTGTGGATGAAGATGATGTCAGAGTAGTCCTGCCTAAGTCCAAATATTCTCGGCTACCAGTTGAGTTGATTAAATATTATCATGATCTTAGAGGTCATCCGGCGGTGAGTTCAACACACCGCTATTTGCGTCGTTTGTTATGGTGGCCTCGTAGTCGAGCTGACGTGAAATCAGTTATTCGAAGCTGTCATCCTTGTCAAGTGTCAGCTTCTCTTTCGAATCGTCAGCATGAAGCCCATCTATGGACCCCTTCTGAGCCTTTTGAGGTGCTTGGGCTCGACATTGTGGGGCCAATGCTCCCTAGTTCTAAAGGAGAAAGATGGGTGCTGACAAGTACGGATTTATTGAGTCGATTCACCCTATTGTTCCCGTTGGCAGATATCAGTACTAACACTATCTGCAGAGTTATTGAAACACAAGTTCTGTTAAGATTTGGGACTCCGTCGACATTCATAACTGACCAAGGACGGCAGTTCACGTTATCGCCAAGATTCGATGCTCTTTGTTGTTTATACTCTGCTCATCATATAGTCCTACCCGTGGCTCACGCAGCCTCTGGGGGCTTCTATGAACGCCAACATCGGACATTGGGTGATTCACTACGTCGACTACTCAGGAGTCATCAACGTGCTGCCTGGGTTGATCTATTATGTATTGCTGAAGGACGGCTGAACTCTATGCCGGATCCTGAGCTCGGTATTTCCCCTCATGAGATTCTCTTCGGATTCAAGTTGAAGCTCCCTTTTGACGTTTAGATCCGTAGTCAAGTTCTGAAGGAGCCGCTAACTCATGAGGATGTGGCATCGCTCATTTCCTTCCCCAACAAGGCTAGAGTCTCCACCATACTCTCTGAGATATCTCGGTTGGATCGCCATCGTCGACAGCTATTGAGCGTTTGGTCGGACGCATGGACTAGATCAAGAGAGAAGAGTAAAGGCCCAGAGGTACGAGAACATTATGTTCGAGGCAAATCTGTCTATGTATATCGTAAGCCCCAACATAAATTGGATTCCCAGTAGATTAGGGGTGTCATTATAGGTCTAATTGGCGGGCAATGTTATGAGGTTCAACTTCCTGACGGTACTCGACAGGTCTTCCACAAGGATCATTTGAAGCCCTATTTCAGCTCGGAAGATAAACATCAGTCTGGTGAGCCAGATGAAGACCATCTGCCTTCATCTATCGCCAGAGGTCACAAAAGAGAGAGACTGTCATCTCCACCTATCGCGGAAGACCTTCCACTTAAGAGGCGAGTGCGAATTGTGTCTTCTGGTCACACTTTCCTAGCCTGGAAAGATGAAGATGGTACGGTGAGAGTTGGTAGTAAGGTCTCATGGACTAATGATGGCCTTCTTCTTGTCCATGAATATAAGCTTCTTGATGACCATAGAACTGTTGTACCTATGTATTTCACTTCTGATGGTATTTTGAAGATAGGAGGTCCCCCGCATATTCCTGCGACCATTGCTGTCGATCCAAAAGGAATATTTATTCTGAAGTTGAGAAGTCCTACGCAGCTTTCTGATGAGTCTTCGAGGAAGGTGTCTGCTCTGTAGCCGCCACCTTGGGGGACCGAGATGTAGAGAAATCTTTACTACTTGTTCTTTATAGAGGAATAGCAAGAGTGCAAGAGTCTAGTCTTGCCGTTAGCTATTATCATAATCTTATAGAGGCACTTGTAGCAGAAGTTCTAGAGGAGGGGTCTGTTATTAATGTACCCATCTTGGCTCAAGTTCTGTTGTGTTGCTCATAACCCCAACAGTGAGGATGTCGCGAAGTTCAGTGATGCCAACTTGATACTTTCAACTAAAGATGTTCATCGACTCTATTATCATGTTCTGTAACTCACGATACGAAAGAATCACTGACGGGGACATAGGAATGATGTAACGGTCGGAGTGAGTCACTTGCTGAATAAAATAAGCTTTGTACTTTTATGTCTGTGTGGCGTTGGGGTCAAGCGGGGTGACTATTGTAACAGGTTCTTCTAGCTGCGTTCCCTTCGAGTGAGAGTCACGGCATTCAACCTCGAAGTATTGACGGACGTGTCGCATTGTTCTTCCGTAAGCCTTAAACATCTCACACGCACATTTGCCTACTTCAAGGCTCAATCCTTTGCGACTCATCTGCTGCCGTCCGACTGCTGCGTGTGATTCACATTCACTAGAACCACAACCTTTAAGAACCTCCTCGCACATAGGATTCATATTGGTACCGAGCTTATCGATACAACGCAGTTCAAGGTTGTGGCAGTTTGTACAGTTGTGGCTCGTATAGGGTCAACTCGTACAGGTTCAATTGAGTCTATGTCAGGTGATACGGTGTCGTTCAGTCCTGTTGCACTTGGTACAGTGCCAGCTCGTACAGTGTCATTTCATACAGATTCTGTTCATAGAGTGGCACGCAAAGCAACTGAATTTGACGCAGTTAGATCTCGTACAATCGCCACTGGTACATTTTCAACTCGTGCAGTAGCCAGACTATTTCAGTAGCTGAAATAGTACGATATGCAGAGAAAGAAAGTAGAGCGGCGCGCATCGAGCTCTGAGTACGATTAACCAGAGCTCTTGACGAAAAATTTGTATGTGAGAACGAGTGAATAGTATTGGCTCCAGTCGTACTACCTGAAGATTCAGGTTGGGACCAAGGTAGTGTTAGTAGGGATGAGTGAGGACGCATGAAGGAGTAACAGAGCAAGATAGACGCACCAGTGCGCGCGCCAAGCACGCGAGAAATGTTTGCCCCGACATTTCGCGCAGCGCGGAATATCGTATCAAAAATTTTTCGTCTGTACGAAGCCAGAGTTTTACGGAATAAAACACGTACGAACTTAATGATGTATGAAGTAGTGTGTACCAGTCACAGCTGCACGAGGATATGGCGTAGGGATTTGCAGAGTACCAGACATGCATGCATGACATTATGTCATTGACATAGCAATGCGCTGATTTACACTGTGTTCGCTGACAATAAGCGGACACTGCACGTAATAAGACAGTACGAAACGAGACTGTATATGAAAGTATGTCACTATTTTACTGATGTGGTGCTGTATGTAAGATATGATGCTGTACCGAGCAAAGTAAGATAATCCAGTAGTGCACGAATCAAAGGTGTATCATCCAAAACTGTATCAGTTGCAAGTACACGAAGTGGTACATGAGTAGGCATTCTGCGAGTTGCAACTGCACGATCTGATCCTCACCGTTCGACGCACCCCCGAGTAGGTTAAGCACGGCGCTTATGGTTCTATAAACCGCTACAATGACAACAGACGCCCGCTGCATCGGGATTCTCTACAACCAGCTGATAGTGATATCATTATGTGACATAACTGATGTCTGGATATGAGCAATGATAGCGTGTCCAGCGTCTACATGAAGTGGGTGAGTGGAGTGCAAAGTCTAGGCTGGTGAGTAGAATCAAAACAGCGTATTAGGCCACGTCTTTGGACTCTATATCCACGAATCGAAAGGTCTTATGATCTATTCTTGGGTTCGACTCTTAAACCAAGCTATGTCCGATTCTAGCTCATGAAGCTATTGATCCAAGCTAAATTAGCTGCACCACTGGTCAAACTCGTTGAAAGCGAGACATTGTATACAGAGTCTGTATACAATGTCTCGCTTCCAACGTCTGTATTACAGACGATAATGGTTCAAGCTATCACAGTGATAATCAGCTAGATAATCCAGAGCGTCCTCAGAAAGAGGTTAGTAAGCCTGTTGAAGATAGAGCCGGTGAGAAGCATGAGCTGGTATCGGACGATACCAGCGCGTCATCCCTAGTTGAGGCTCCGAAGGTTCAGTAGTTTAGTTTCGTAAGCATGCCGTGAAGTTCAGTGATGGCGTTAATGAAAATGTAGAAGAATAGTTGAGAAAGCTTGGTACGTGCTACTCAAGCTATCGGTGTCGGGAGGGTCATATCAAGCAGCCAAGATGGTCTCATGTGAGCAGAAGATTCCTGCCAAGATCGACGGACTTCTGCCAGGAATCCATCGATGTTTCTGGGGAACGGTATATTGCTTGGCTGCGATCTGAGCTGCAGAGACGGTTTGGCTGTAGCCCTGAAAAGGTCGTTACTAGCTTGAGAAGTACCAACTTCAATGGTTGATGAGTATGCGACTGCATTGAGCGTTTCATGCGGCAAGGCAAGGTGTAAGCAATGCCAGGGTGAGATCATGAAATTGTTCTTCTACAGGAGCTTGTCTCATGACCATCCAATCAGTTGTCCCATGAAGCCTGTCTGCCTCGATCCTACCAAATCCTTTGATCAAATAATAACTCATGCTAGGTTTCGTTCGACTATTTAAGACGACCACGAGTAGCCGCACCTGGTGTGCGCCGATTTGTTCTCAAGCTCTGGAAAGGTCAGGGTGGCAGAACGGGAGAGGTAAAGGTGGCAGAACGAGAAAGGTAGAGGAATGAGGAGTCGCGCACCAATGCAGGAGACAACAAGACAAGACTAACCACACGATTGAAGCGCGTACATCTCTTGCCAAGGCAAAGATGACGTTGAAGCAATTTCGCTAGCCGATTTCGTATGTTAGACTTTGCTATGTTGCTGACTCAAACAGAACATAATCTCGTTTGTCTTGTCGATTCAGAAGGCAGTGAATCAATCATAACCCAGTCGGCGTTGAATGAATCACTTGCTGGCTTCACGTATCGTAACCTCCGTTCGCGGGTGGCCACGATACCGTCATTTCATTATCCTGTGTTAGGATGGCTCGCGCCGGCAGCCAGAACACTAGAAAGGCTGAGTGTCGTCGTCAATGAAGGTGTGGCCTCGCATTATCCTCTGCCTGATGATATCGTAGTGAAAGGGCACAAATTACACCCAGACTGCGAGATGATGCAGCGTCCGGATTCTTCTGGGTGAATCCCCCATTACAGTGGTCTTGGTATATGGATGCTTCCGCAGACGCAATTGGAGCTTGTTAAACAAGCCTTAAACGCGAAAATTAAAAATTTTACTTTTCGATCCAAAATATAAACTTTATACTGTAGATCGCAGTTGGGGGGAGATAGATCTGGGCCACGAGACGCGAGGAATATTCGACGAATCGATACAGTGGAGTTAGAAGCAGCCTTGAGAGGTCTCAATGATTTAATCTTCCCTTGGGTAAGAGCTTAAGCAATTCAGAGTGGTCTTGCATCGACAGTGTATGTTGCTAGCAAACCGGTCTTACCTCAATTTTTTCTGGGAAATGCTCGCTATTGGGTAGCATCCAATTCCATCAGCTGCAGCAGAGGGCCGTCTACAAATTATAGACGCCCTCATACAATTGGAAATACGTGACATTCAAATATATAGCTGGTGGCGAGAACCCTGCAGATGAAAGATCACGGATACCTGAATATTAAAAATGGCCAAGACCGCCAAGATAATCACGACCACGAGGGTGCAGAAGCCCTACATCAAAGGCTTCGCAAATGGGTAAAATCAGAACCAGGTTTCTGAGCAGTATGCTGAGAGGCTGTTACCCGGTGTGACTTATGTTAACGTGCGGATATATATGACAACACACCACACGCGCACTCAGT